AAAGAACATATCCGAACAGACACGTTTACTGACGTTTATCTACCTAATCATAATTTCTTTTCTCTGCCATCCTCATGCACCCTCCAAAATTTTCAAACTAATCATGCAGTTGAACCTGATTTCCCGGATGAGATTCTCCAAATGTTGAAGCAATTCATAGTCTACAAGCATCGATTCGCATGGATTTCGTTGAAACCATGTGCCAATCAGCTTGCAAAAACAACTGGTGCCTAGCTCGGTACGGGCTTGTTACTGGAACGAGTGCTGGTGGCTGGGAGGCAGCCGGTATCACACCTACTCAAAAATTGATTTGTAAACAATAGGGACCAACTGAAAGGTTTATAAATGTGTTTCTGTAGTGCAGGAAGCCCCGATGCATGTAATGTGAGGCACTGCATCTTATCCAAAAAATATATCTGTCAATTCCGCACGACAGTGCCCATATAATTTAGAATGATGCATCAATCTCAGTGAATTCCTTTCTCGTTTGACTTTTAATGAAAATACCAGTGACTTCAGTTCTCCCGACCGACTTTACGATGATTCACAATACTATCTTTCCACGCTCTCAGATTCGGTAGACTGGCCGTTGCGCGAGTTCTCTTTGCAAAAGGAACCGCTTTTCATTTAAAACCTTACATCAGCGTCAGGATACACGAACTCGAGTACGTCCACACACACAAATCGTCATATTCATTACCCCAATGGGTTATGGGTTAAAAGGAAGGAGATTATCATCCACACCATTAAATGACACTTGCACTGAAATTTGCAACTTGATCTAATGCACCATCCGGTAATATCTGTTGATCGCACTCTATTGTACGTGCACTGCACAGGCTCGTTAACCACTGCCGATTCAACATTCCATTGCACAAAACACGAAATAGTTGCGCGATTCCTCATTTATGATACGTTATACATCAACGATATACGTACCACTACTTGGTTGTTGCTAACAATATTGAATTCCTGGTAAAAGCACGTGATGCGCTCACATTTTCATCATGACAAATCACAAATATTAATTTGTTTCTTACTGAAAACAATGCAACGTAGACTGCATACAACAACTATTTCATAAATTTTCCTAATCACTTTGAGAAAAGCAAACCGATAACGCAGAACTAAACGCAAGTTCTTTTCCTCCCGCAGGATGTCAATTTGATCTTAGTATTTAGAATGAGGGTGACGTTCATTTTGTGTCGTGTTCGAATTCATTTTCCTTTATTGACCGGTTGGTAACTCATCACCATGCCTTGACCTTTTTTCGAATAAACATGCGTCACTTTGTCAAGCAATTTACTATTTCATTAGATTTGCAATTCGAAAGTACAATGTCTGCAATTATGTGAAGACGTATTCAGAATTTGTTCTTGAAAATTAATTGGTCATTACGGAAATATCCTCACATGTCAATGAATTACACTTGCGATCGAGGTGATTACAATAGGCCGCTGAAATCCAGGGTCGGCAAACAGAAATGGAACAACTTATGCAATCCCTCGCAAGCAATTGACGGACAGGAGATTCAGAATGGTGAATAGCAGCAGTCCAAGCGATGGAGTGAACAATGCGGCTCCATCTAGGAGAACAGTAGGAAAACGCAATATTCAAATGCAATGACAACATTTTCTCTCAATACTCAACGAAAATGTACATCGTGACACTATACATAGAAATGGGTTTATCGGTCAATAATAAAATCCACTTATTTGAACCGGGGTACTCCCCAATGAGTCCCAAACTACGGAACATCTGAGCTCAGTTTAGGTTGTTTCTATAGTTGAATTTGAGTCGCGAACTTACCCAGCATATAATAAACAGTTATATCGGTGTTCCTCGGTGTGGACCGTTTTTTGCGCGCTTTGAGTACACCTGCGGCCTCTGAAGATCCCGGGGGAGATGGATCCGGGCCGGAAGGTTTTGCTGCGGTCGTCGTTGTCGTTTTCGTCGTCGTGGTCGTGGTGGTGGTGGTGGTCATTGTAACCGTTGTGCTGGATGCACCCAAATCTGTGCCAACCTCGATCTGATCAGTCGAGTTAAAAGTGTTTTTGTTCGGAGTCGCGCATATACTCGTCTTTGTGTCTCCACTGGCCAGCTGTACACATTCCGTGGCACTACCAGTCTGTGAAGTGGACAAATTGAGCACAGTTGTTGATGGTCACATTGCAATCAAAGTACAATCAACGGGCTACATTTGACACTAATTTGAACTCACTCCCGAGACTTTCAGATAAACCATTGCTTTCTTCCCATCCGTTGGCTTTACGAGAGCCTGACAACCAACAATGCCAGTTTTCACTGTGAAATGTTGTTCACTAGCAGACGCAGTGTACTCTTTCAGACATGTATCTGCGGCTGAATTATGTAAGCGAATCTTCAAACCGGCTATTATGCAAACTCACTGTTGACGGTCCATATACACAGACCAATAATGAGAAATGCCACGTTTCGCGGATGCATGGTTTCCTCAATGCTTACTAGCTGAAACTGCGTTGCTTTTATAGTGCGTGCACCGATTCCCCGACAGTAAAGGTGACAGTTGTGCACCTAAACATTATTGAACGAGACCAAATGACGATGTGTTGGGCGTTCTTGATTGATGGCATGAGTTGCCTAAGCACAATCATAGACAAACATCATTCTTGATGACGTATATTATACCTTCCATTGCTGTGCGATTCGGGTGAAAACAACTACATAATCACTTCGGCTTAAATAAAAACCCAGACAGCTAGAACTATAACTAAAGTGAGATTTCCCTTTCATGCATCATTCAGAGGATTATTATTCTAAGGAAGTAGCGAGATTTGCAAACAATTTGTAATGTTATTTTCAATACCCTCAATTTTCTTTTTCCATTTTCATTAAATAATGCAATACCTAATCTGCTTTAGTTAACATCATTTTGATTCAAAATAACTTTTCGGCCTATCGTCAGTTCATCCAGTGTTTCATACACTCTGCAGCAATTCATTCAAGTCAGAAGGTGATTGGCTCCAAAGTAGCCTAATACAGCCAATTCCGTTGGAACTAGTTGAATAACCGGACCGTATAAATTATAACTAGTTTGTGTATAGATGGTCAAAATAGAGTGTGCCAAAAATAGATTTTGTGATTGTAAAATTGTTGATTCAGTATCGTTTTGCGTCATTGAACGCACGATCCCATTTACATCGTTCCATGTTTCTTCCGGTTATAAACTATAGTAAACGATTGTAAATTTGAGTTTCTTTGATGAGGTTTATCACACACAAACAACTAAACTGTAATTGTGCACCAGCCTTACACATGCGGTGGCCAATATTTTCTCCGACATGGCATCACGTTCTGTAAGTTTTGCACAGTTACGTGTAAGTACTGGTTAGGGATATGTTACATTGATTGATTTGAATTGGCTATCCTTAGGACTTTATTTTCACTCACAATCCTCAAATGATCGATTCATTCATACACACGGAAGCATACGAATCCAATTTCACTTTGGTTATACTTCATCAGTTGTGCATGTTTGAACATGCGGACCCATCGACGAGAACGCGTGTGCGTTCCCACTGTGCCAACGAGTTTCCGGTATCCAAGTAGACACCTTGAATCTAAGAATCATCGGCTGCGGTGATCTTTATCCGTAGAAAGGCCGTCTTTTATATGCATTGCAAGTAGTGCATAAGTAGCGCTATAGAAGTCCGCATATGTATTGATTCGAACGGATGTAATACAAACTCTAGAGTCAGTAGTGTATTAGGCCGGCCTACAAAATTTACTGATCTACTAACGATGTCCTCCTCAATTTCCAAAAGCATCTCTGTGTACTCAGTGCAATGCTTGTCAACGACAAAGTAACAACGTTTTCTACTCCAAATAAATAACCAACCACCAAATCGGCTTTCAACTGCCTTAGCTTAATTGCCACAGTTAAAGACAGTGTGATAAGAAGCGACCATTGTATGGTAAAGGAGGAGAAACAGCGTAATTTGGCCAAAGATTGGACGAAGGGTTTACCAATCGCCCATCGATTAAACGAGGCAACATATTTTTATATCATCAGGATGTGAGGAAAACATTTTTACATAACCGTTGATTTATAAATGATTGGATCCGCAATGTTCACTCAGAAACCGCAAACACAATTTCCATACGTATACCTGGATACGGTAGACGCACTCCTACTCATGCATTGAGAGAAAGACAAAACGTATCCACTGATTAACAGTTGCTGAGTCCTAGACTCTGCACTGCCAAAGGACGCACACACGCGAGGTTATGCCTTTCGTTTCTTCGTGTTTTCTGCGAGCCGCGGCCGTAAATGTGATCGAATATTGGTTTATATCGATTGTAAAAATAATGAATGCATTTGGCAGTAATTGCTTATAAAATGAATCCTTGGCCAATGCGATAATCTTCATCTTTACTTTTATCGAGTTAAAAACGTAAGCAATATTCGATATAATTCTCTAAGCAACAACAGGTACGTTTGTTCAGTAAAGATCTTCAAGTTTCCGGCACTCGCAATAAAGTCAATATTTACTATTCTTAGAGGCCGCTCCTAACACGCGGAGACTGAAAATAACACATTGGTCTCTGTCAAGTGATTCCCCATAGTGACGCATGACTGCATGACGATTTGAAACCTGGCTTAAGGTCATATTTATTCAAGGAATACGTGACAAAATGTAACATTGTGTATGTCATCGCTTATTCTTTTCCAGTGCTCTGGTGAGGATGAAGCATGCTTTTTATTTATTTACGTATGTCAAACAGTCACTAATCATAAGATGACTTACTAGGTTGTAATACTCAACGGAAATATTCGTGTTTTATCCAAGCACTGTTTTAAACTTGTATTCCTGAAATTAGCGTCATAAATAGACAACACGTGTTGTAAATTCTATTATTTTATTAAAAGTGCCATAGTCCTTGAGTTTTTCCTTTATGAAACGTGTGCTTATATTTGCACGTTACATATCTCGAAGTAACTGGAAGCATTCTTTTGTGTCGCAATTCGACCAGGCAAGTCAAGAATTGGAGTTTGCACTCTGTACCCGTGATGATTTTGCTGCATGTGTACACGTGATCATTCCATACTGTATGCGGTCTTTGTTTCACAGTTATTATCTCGCTGACTATGAACATCACTTTTACTGCAGTATGCTCGTGTACACACGCAGCAGAATGACTACGGATGCCTCGTACGAACCCTATTATTCCACTTTCCTATTCTCTTATCTACCTAAACTGTGAATAATCGAAACGCTGCAACCTAATTGCGGTTTTCACATGTATGGATTCTGATGCAGAAAGAGGATATACCAAGATGACAACGTCGATGAAGTATACTCTATATGAAATGTACTGCTTATTCTAAAATATTCACTGTATGCCGTATATAAGGCGCCATATCATAATTCTCTTCTAATCATGGCTTTGCAAATAGCATATTCTGAAAATGCACAGCTTATCACAGATTAACCCTGGGGAGAATTTGTGCCCTGAATCAACTGCAATCTTTAGGAAAACGCGTTCTACATCGGTTTTCATGGTCGTTGTTTGTTCATTCTTTGTAAGCGTATATTCATGTACTATCCTTCCGACATATGTAGGTGGTAACACAANCTTACAATTAAATCGCCTTTGTTTTATTCCAGAGTGATGGTCGATGGTTTCCTATATGAAATAGAATATTTTGTATCATCAAGAAGGAGAAGCACAGAAGTTCACCTATTTAACTGTGAGTGTGGAATATTCATTAATATAGTAAGACGTAATGAGCTACTTCCAATACCTGTGCCTAGTCGGCAACAATTTATTTCGATTGACAAATTTCGGGGTAATTGCAGTCTGAAACCTGCTCTACCAGTTACGGCATCCCTCAAAACAACTCAAATATTTCCAGATACATTCCAATATACGATTCATTTATATTCAGCAAGGAATGGTTAAGTTTGAAACACGTTACTACAACTCAAACCATCCGTTATCAAACTTAAATCCCCATGTTTTCCTTCACACGATAACCGATAAAAGGTGATGATTGCGCAACGCAGGACCGCATTCTTCTTTCTCGTGTATTCAGTGTATGGATACATCAAACTCGAATTATGGATTCGATGTATATGATTGAACTAAAACAAATTAGTCTACGATGTATTTCGTAGTGTGCAGTGCAAACACAAGTGAATCAAACAATAGAAAGCACAGGGAAATTCATTTCTCTTATCACGGCCACATCAGCACTTCGCATTGATCGGCACAACTGGAGTTCAAACCAGAGACACAACATGTCAAACGCTAGTCTGACTGTCGCGAGGCCACTAACAGTTGTTCTGCTATTAGACAGAGTTAACCCAATAGATTACGGAATTTCAGACTACTCCCATCTAACAAAATCCAAGGTTGTATTTCTCCAGCCAGGGAGCTTGGATGACACAGCGAAAGTTCGGTTTCTAGAGTTCTTCGGGGATGATGTGGTTGAAAACCGTTGTTTCGCTATTGCAACTGGAGTGTGAATAGGGTTGATGTTGTAACAATCCATTTAAAATGAACTAACGTATCTCATACTGATGTCACTTCGAATGATGTTTTTTGTTTTCGACTGTGTGCTCAGCTCTCAAAGATAAAAAAGGCGCAAGCTTATGAGTCTGAATGATAGGAACTGACTAGGAAACTGCACAGGTCACGTAACCTTTTGAACACGCGAAACCACTAAATACACCAAATACAAAAACAAACCTATGTTTGGAAATTGAAGACGACATAATGTTTGGGTTACAGGTTCCATTATGAATTGAATAGTTCAGACGTATTGACACATCACCTTTGAAGTAAATTGCTGATGTACATCTGGAAAACGTTCCGGAACTCTTCTTCAAATTGATTTCATATGGTCTGAACAGTCCTGATGTCATTTCCAAAACGTCATTGATAAGCCACAGGGTTGTTCATGTTCCTGCTAGTCCGCTCATTGTTTGAGCCAGAGTTATTTTGATTAAGTTGCGGGTGTAGCCACTGCGAGAAAATACTTTGAGGAGGCATTTTACTTCCTTCGCTTTCAGTATGTCGGTGCTGCAGTGCGTTTGGATTCTTCCAAAAAGGGTTCCAACACAGAATCTTTTGTGATTGTGTGAGTGATTACTTCTGAATTCGGTTCCTATACGTTTTTGCGGTACACCGTTGTCTCCAGTTTTCCTGATGCCCTTTTTATAATCAAGACGTTCCCAATTCCCTTTCCTTCTCCATTGTGAGCTACAAGCCATTGTATCTGATTGTGAAAAAGTGTGTCCTACCAAGTTCCGACTTCTTGCAGAGTGAGATCACCGAATAACACCAGTTTAACGGCGAACGGAGTTACACAGAGTGAAAACATAGGGACAATGAAGTCAGTGGAGAAGAACAGATCGGTGGAAGGACTCCGGCAGAGTACCTTCATTCCATATGCACAGAAAAGGTCACCTAGGCTGGTGAAT